TATTGGGGCCATACTCTCAAGTGAAATAAATAGGACACACATGTGTAAATACCAAATAGTTTCTCTAGTGTGAGAAACTGAGAGTGTAAATAAGGATTAAAAGGATTAATAACTAATAACTGATACTTTGAAATAGGAAAAGGTCCAAAGGGGTAGGGGTAATGGGAGGAGATAGGGAAAGGGAAGAAGGGAAAGGAAAAATTATGAGAAAGAAAAAAAAATGAAAACGAAGTATGTAAATAGGGAAGGGCAGAGGGGGTGAAGGGAGGATCAGGGAATGGGGAAAAAATAAGAACCAAGATACATCATATACAGGTACAAGCACCCAATGACAAATGTACAAGTATTGTATACCTAAAATGTACCAATAAAAGAATTTCAGGAAGAAAAAAAAAGAAAAGTGAGGAAGAAGACAGGAGAGCAGGCTGCCCCTTCTGCCCTCCTCCTGCTTAAAATGATACACAATGCTTTGACATAATGAGACATGAGGATCATGAGCCAAATCAGACCAGAAGGGTGGGGAGGCAGAAAGACCAGGGTCTTGACGAACTCCACACATTTTTAAGTAGTCTGCCCTTTGGGTCTCCTCCTTCCTTGTCTCTCTTCATCTCCCTCTGACCCTTGTCTCAGCCATTTGCTCATGTAGGAAGTGCTCCCTTCTGCCTGACTGGTACACAGTGAGTCTTCCTAGGATGAGCCTACTGGCTGCTCGACCCCCGAAAGGAGATTGGTGGGAAGAGAAGGGAGATGTTAGCAGGAAGCCTAGGTGGCACCTGCCCAGCCTTTCCCTTGAACACCTGCACAGAGGATATAATCTCTTCCCAATCAGTTGTGGCCTCAGCTCTCCCCAGGGAGCGGAGAATAGATGCTGAGCAGTGATTCTCCCTGCCAGTGGCTGCAGACACCAAGCTTACCCAGGAAAGAAGGTGTTAAGATAATCTCCTCTTAAGGAGCCATTAATGGCCTAAGCAGGTCAAGTTCAAGCCCCTGAATCCAGAACCCAGGCCCTACTCCCTGCTGTAGCTTCTCTAGCCCACTCACCTCCCCTTCATCCCGTTCACCTTGAATCAAGTCCCTGTTCATGCCCATGATCTACATTCCAAGACCCCAGGGCTTTCCTGGAATGTCTTCCCCACCTTCCCCTCCATGGGGTTATGGAAGGTTCCATGGATCTTTTTCTGCCGAAATATGAAATATGGCTCAGGTGCAGCCCTTTACTCTGCCCAGGTCTTTCTGTAACAAACAACAGAAATTCAAATGTGCAAGGGAAAATGTTTGTAAGGGTGTGAACATGGTATGCAGATTGGCTTTGCTTTTACTACCAAAATGGAGGGCAATAACTACCTGTCCAACCATAAGGCAATAGAAAGCAGAGTCCAAAAATAGAAGAGATCTTGTGCCATGCTTAAATGGATTGGGACAGAGAGAGAAGCAGCATAAACTAAAATGCTCTTGGAGGTCTAAAGACAGAGGCTGAAATCACTATCTCCATGGAGCTGAGCCTGAACAGCAAGTGTGTGTGTGTGTGTGTGTGTGTGTGTGTGTGTGTCTGTGCGTGACAGTGTGTTGCCATATGCAAGGATTTTTTAAACCTTCTTGGCACCATTTAAAATGAAATTCAACACAACTTTTACCAAAATAGTAATTCTGGCATCTGGCAGCTCAATCCATGCTCCAGTCCATAGATCGTCATCTGACATAAAAAGCCAGCAGAGGCTTCCTGTTCCCTGCTTTCCCTGTAGCCTCTGTGGTCACAATGTCTGCTGTCCCCTCTCCTCATACACCTTCACCCTAGGGGTGGGGAGCAGCCTGCTGGGGGGTCAGAAAGGCTGGAAATCCTTTCTCCATCTATCAGGTGAGAGAACAGAGGCCTAGGGAGGGAAAATAAATTGCCCAGAGTCACACAGTTCTTGGCGGGCAGAGTGGCAGCCAGAAGTGGTCCTCTGACTCTGGGATTGAACCAAATCATAGGATTTTAAAAGAGAAGAGTTGCTAGGATTGTCTCAGCTTCCATAAACACAGAGGTTCACCTGAAGAACTCACAGTGTGGCCTAGGACTGTACAATCACAACACTGAGTCCGTCCTTGGGCACCATTCTGTAATTTCCCCCTCTGAGGCTCCGAGTATGGACACCATTTCATCCTCATAAGCAGGACAGCATCTGCCTCTTCTTCCTTTCCCCACGGGCTGAGCTGATGCACAAGTGAAGGCCGGGATACACTGACCTGCCAAATATCTTCCCAGTTGCATCCTGGAACCTTAGATAAATCAGTCCCCTCTTAGGGCCTCAGTTTCTCCACAGGGCCTGACAGAGTAGATGCTCAGACACAGGGTGGGGAAGGCAATCCCTGGCTCCTTGCACTCAAGAGAAAAACTTGCCCATGGGCCCTCAGCAGCAGCATCCTAGAGCCAGCCTCAGAGTGAATAGGTCACAAAGACAGGTGACTTCTGGGACCCTAGCCTTCCTACACTTCTGTTGGTTTGTTCAAATTTTTCAAAATGGTGGCCACACAAACATCTACCTTCTCTCAGCATCTCCTGGCTTGTAGAAAGCAACTTGGCAACTGCCTGGAAAAGCTTTGTGAGTCCCTCTGAGTGGTTCCCAGCCACTTCTGTTAAGGGCACAGAGGAGTGGAGCAGACATAGCCTTGGGTACAAATCCACCTCCATGCCAGTTGACCGAGGAATGGTGCCCCAGCTTCTCAGAGCTCATCTTTCAAGTAGAGACAATAATCCTGCACTGACAGACAGCCTGTGAGGGTTAGGGATGGGAAGTTCCCAACTTACCAAGAAATTTTCCCTGGCTGTGTTTGGACTCGACCCAACTGTCTTGAGCTCTGTCAACCCAGTCACAAGTGTAGGCCAAGTAATGACCAGAGGTGTCCTCCAGAGGCTGGATATATTCTGATACCCCAAAAAGAAAAACAGAATGTCATTAATTATGAACAGCTCATGATCACACACCCCAAACACAGCTGGCTAAGTGCTAACCTCACCGCACCCTCCTTGTTTACCCACTGAACAGAGCCACCTCCTATCTCTCATTCCAGGTCCTACTTTGGCTAGCCCACCTCAGCTGGGGGATCACCTGTGGTCTTCAAGAAGAAATCCCTGCCACATGGAGTGTGGGACCCTCCACACAGTACTCCATTCATCACTAGGGCATGGAGGTGAACACCCTCTCTCTTGGGCCCCCCTGTCCCAGCACACCTGCCTCACCCATGTCCCCCATCAGCATCAGCTTGTATGCTTGTTCTGCTCTTGTTAGGATGTCATATCTACACCACTTCTAGACAGTAGCTTATGAAGGTTCTTCTGGCATGATCACCTGCTTCACCACCTGGAAATCTCACACATGGCTTCCTCTGAGATCCCTCAGCATGACCACCAGCAGAGTCCACTGCCCTCTGGTCTGCTTCTGTGGTACCTTAAGAGGAGACTCAATGCCCACATCTTTGATTTACAACATGGCAATAGCTCATTTAAGTGGAATGCTGTGGGGTTTCTCTGACTGGCTCAGAAGTTTCTGTGAGTGAGGTTGAACACTACAGTCCATCCTCATCATTCCATTGGGGGCTGTTACATCTTAGGCAAATGCCTCTGAGATATTATGATGACGGAGCCCACCATCACCTGTTGAACAGTACCTGAATGGGGGAGTGAGGATGAAGAAAAATAAAGACAAAGAGATAGAGTCGGGAGGGCTCCCAGAGACCGAGCACCCAAGTTTACTTTTCACCTTTCTTTTATACATTTGGTGAGTTTGGTCATTAATCATGACCCTTATCCAGAGACACCTGCTTCCCTGTTCTCTAGTTCTTTGGAAATTCCCCACCCTCATGGGCTTCTTTGTTTCTCGGGGTTACAGAACGTTCATCATAATAAACATCTGACTTGGCAAGAACGCGGTTCCTCATAACATAGTCTCCTTGCTCTTTATAATGGAGGGTAAGATTAAAATGGAGTCTCTATGGCTAACACTGCTCTCCACATCTCCCCCTGTTTTATATATTATGATCAAGGTCCCTTGATCACGCAGATAGACTGTGCCTGTCTTAGGCGAGGAATATAAAGAAATCCCTTACCCGTCATCGAGTCAAGAATGTCACGGTATTCTCGCTCTGTCTTAGGTTGGTGATTTTCTGTACTCCTCTTACCCGTCATTGACTACCAGCCTCTGCAGGGGATAACACCTTAGGCTTAGGTGGTGTAGCATGTAATTGTGGATCATGAATACTTCCAGCCATCCTCATCAAAGAATGCATAAACATCTGTAGTAGCACTGGAAAGATCATGCATCTAAGAAGTAGCCCTCCTCCAATGATTACTATAGAAATGAGTTACCGTGTAAATGCAGATGTAGATGGCAGAACTTTTCTAATTTGTTCAATAAAATCCTGTGCAGCCTGGGCTGCATCAAATTTTAGGGGTTCTGCATTTTGGAGATCTATAATATCCTTATGAAGCTGTACTAAATCTAAGGACACATTTGCAAAACCATCACCTGATTTTCTGTCCGGGTGACACAATTACTTATTTGACAATTAAAGCAAATTACATCATAATAATCATTACCTATCTGAAGACTAATATTTTCTACAAGCAATATATAAGAGCGCATTACACATGCAATGACATTTCTTTTGGGATGATAAGAATTTTCAGATTGGGCCTTAGCCTCATCTAAGGCTGCAGCCAATTTCCAAATATATGTTTGAGCATATCCTTTGTCACTCCACCATAACCCTATAGAGAGTGCCATTGCACTTAACTATGGGGGACTAGGAAAGAGAGAATTATACATCTGGGTAGAGGCATAATCCTGAGATTTAGACCAGTCCAAAACATAAGTATCAAGTCCAGTAATATTATATCTCACAGGGGCATCCGCCACACGTCTCTTTCATGGAATAGTCTTATTGGAGCATTCCAGTGGTCTCCATACTCACAGGTAGATGTAGATGGACTCCAGTGATCCCGTATAGTTGAACGATCGAACCTCGTTCTTGTCAGGGGCTGCCACAGGTGGATCAGGTACATAAGTCCAATAAACTTCCCCATTAAGCATCATCATTAGATTCATCAGCAGGACAGTTGTCAGAATCATCCTGAGGGGCAGGAGAATTCCCCGCGAAATGGACCAATCTTTCAGGCGGCCACCTGGCACCTTCAGCGTCCTGTGGAAAAACACAAACATGCCCTCGTCCCCATATTAATACCGGGTCGGGGCCATTCCATACACCCGTGAGGGGATCTTTCCACCTCACTTGAGCATATGATGATTTAGTTTTAGGATGCCACAGCCGTTCTGCTGCAGTCATTCCATGAGCATCCACAATCAGAAAGTTCAAGGTGAAGAGAGCATGATGTAAATAATTTTGTGGGGATAAAGGGTATAACTCCCCCTTTTTTATTTTGTGCAATTGATTTTTTTAGAGCACCATGGGCTCTTTCCACAATCCCTTGGCCTTGTGGGTTATAAGGAATACCTGTTTTATGGGTGATACCCATCTGTCTGCAAAAGATTTGAAAAGCTTTACTAGTATATCCTGTGCCATTGTCAGTTTTAAGAATGGTAGGGACTCCAATTGTGGCAGAGCATTTTAAGCAATGGGCTATTGCATGTTTTGTAGCTTCTCCAGTTTGTGCAGTGGCCACAATAAATCCTGAAAAGGTATCAATACTTACATGTATGTATTTGTTTTCCAAATTCAGCAATATGGGTAATATCCATTTGCCATAGCTGATTAGGTTTAAGGCCACGGGGATTTACCCCATAATGAGGGACAGAATGGTGTGTAGGACAGGCAGAACATTGCTTAACTACTTGTCGAGCAGCTTCTCGAGTTATATGGAATTGTTTTCTTAAGCTTTGGCTATTTTGATGATGTAGAGAGTGAGGCTGCTGAGCTAATTCTAATTGACTGAAAGCTACCAGCCATGTAGCCTGATCTGCAAGATCATTTCCCTTCGCCAGGGGTCCGGGAAGTCCAGAATGAGCCCTAATGTGACCCACATAACAAGGACAGGTCCGGGCGTGTATGCACCGTTGTATTTGAGCAAAGAGCTCCTGTATTTGATTATTGGCAGCATCAATATAAGCAACTGTTTCAAGCACCTGTAAAGCTTTAACAATATAATGACTATCTGTATACAAATTGAAAGAATAATGGGCCAAAAGTTCAAACACCGTAGCGACGGCACAAAGCTCAACAATCTGAGCGGAGGCGGGGGCTGTATGAACAATCTGTGGCTTTCCTGAATAACATATGCTGTAATACCATTGGAAGACCCATCAGTAACATATTTAGAATTTAAACTTTAAGGATAACCAATATAACCAATTTATAATAACATATTGAGACAATGTTTATTGTAGTCTGTCTCCCACAAGATTATGAAATTTACTAGGGGGTCCCTTTAGTGAATTAAGACCAG